TCTAAGTTTTGTATAAAAAAAATTGAGAGAAGTTGGTTTAATTTTAATATTTTTATAAAATTAATAATTCACATATGCTATAGCTCATAAAATACCATGTTGTGAGAATCAGCACATTATTGCTAAGGGTGATTGAATGGTTTTTACCACAAAATGTTAGTTTGATGGAAGTTACATTTTGGACAATTATAATATATGCAATAAAGCCAAATATTTGTATCCAAATAATGTGAACTCTTATTGATTAAATTGGGTCTCAAAGACCTTATCTAAAACTCAAAATAATTTTAGACAAATTGTTTAGCTAATTTTAATCAGTGTCCTGATTTCCAAAATAAGATATTGAGCTAGATGGTTCTCTAAAAATCCTCTTTTGACTCCAAATTTCTGCTGTCCTTTTCTTTTTGTTGTGCTTCTTTATGAATCTTTATATTTCTTAAAGACATACCATCACCAACAGAGTCTGACATTGTTTTAACTCTCAAGAGTGCTGCCCTGACCCTACTTTTTTGTAAAAGCTAAAATCTATCTCCAGTTTCATTATAGTGCTGATATCAGTGAATATGAAGTGTTATTCTTCAAAGCTTCATAAATTTTATTTCTAGTTACTCTTAAAATGAATTAATTGTTGAATTCTTATTCTGTTCTCTTCCGATTGATTTGTGTATAGTCTATACAGTCTAGTTACTATCATCTACTTTTTAGTGGAGTAGACTGGTGAACAAACACTATAGTAAAATAAGTTCTGTGAAAAGTATCTCTTCGAGATGCTATGTAATTCTAGCATCTCCAAATCCAGCAGAGGATAGAGAGAGGGATTTAGAAAAGGCTTTCATAAATAGCTAATCGATAGGCTGAGTCATGAAGAGTTAGAGTTAGCCAGGTGGAGGTAAGGGTGGACCAGGAAAATAGTATAGGCATGGAAACATGAAACAGCACTGTAGGCATGAGGGTGTACCATGGCTGGAGTATCAAGAAAGTTAAATTTGTTAAACTTGAGTAATGCAGGTTCAACATGCCTACTCCAGGAGTTTCGCTCTATTTCCTCTTGCTAGAGAAGGCACAGGTGAGATTTTTAGATATTCTGAACTAGAGGGATAAAACTCATGTTTTGTTTAGGAACACTAGTGGGCTAAAATTACCTACGTAAGATGATCAAGGTTTAAAGTAGGCCTCCACTGGCCAGCTTCCATCTACAATAGGAAGCTGGTTGTGAGACTTGTCGTGAGCCCTTCTACCTCACACTGACCCACCCATCTCATGCACTGTCCCTCTGTTAACAGCCTTGATCTCTGAGTCCTTAGCCCCAAGGTTGCATTAATGTCTTCTTACTTTCTTTAACTAGTGGAGAACACAGAGAAGTAATATTAACCAATACAACATTTCTATCTGAAATCCCTCTAGTGTTTTTATGCAGTGACTTTTGTGCTCTATTTGATTTTGGCAGAACTGATATCTAGTATCTTCATTTGTATTTGACCTTTTAATGAATTGTAGGGCTTCTTTTTTTTTTTTTTTTTTCCTTTTAAA